GTGGTACAGGCCTGCTCCTCCAAATCGCGCTGGCCCTGTGGCAATCCCTGTTTTCCCCTCCCCTGCCTCACTGGGGGACTGGTCCCTTTATTTTGAGGAGAGAATCATTCGTTTTCCTCTTTGCCATAGGCTACTTACTACCTTTAATTTGCTAGGAGAAGGAAATGGGTGTCAGAATAAATGTGTGTAAATCTTCGTCTCTGGTGAAAGCTGATGAGGAGATAGATATACAAAGAATCATAAACTGTTCCTTTTGAGTTCTGCCCCTCAACTAGATTCTCAAAGTCCTGGCTGATGATATAACGTGTAGACTTATATTCTGCAAACTTGTGACTAAAATATAAAGACATCAATAGAAAGGGGCAATCTCTAAGATGTCAGAGGGTAGACAGGCAAGTGGAGCACCTCTGCAAGGAAGTGCAGGGATATTTCCCAAGCAGGCTCTAGAGGTGGCAGGGATGCCCAGTGAGGGGCCACTGGGCAGGGGCACTTAGGATGGAGACTCCGTGCTTTGAGGGCTGCCAGAGGAGAGCGTGCAGCCTACCCTCTGTGGCAGTACGGGGAGATGGCTCCCTCACATACTGTTCTCTGTTTCTTTTTTTTTTTTAAACAACATTGCATGTGGTTAAAAAAAATTTTTTTTTTTAAGTTTGAAATAGGCCAAATTTACATAAAAGTTGGAAGTAGGGTACAAAGAATTTTTTTCCTGAACCATTTGTGAGTTAAGTTGCCGACCTAACACCCCATCACCCTAAATACTTTGCGTGCATTTCCTATGTGCAAGGACATTTTCCTACCTAACCATAACACAACCATCAAAATTAACATTCATATGTTACCTCCATCTAATCCTCAAACCCCATTCAAGTTTTGCCAGTTGTCCCAGTAATGTTCTTTGCAGCAAAATGATCCAGTTCAGAATCGTGCATTGCATTTAGTTACCAAGTCTCTCATCTCCTATAGACTTTTCTCACTAAACGTTCCTTGAGATTCATGATCTTGATACTTTTGAAGATTACAGGCTGGTTATTGTGTAGACTGTCCCTCATTCAGGGTTTGTCTGATATTTTCTCATGATTAGATTCAGGTTATGCATCTTCAACAGGAGTATCACAGAAATGATGCTTTGTTTTTCTCATTGCATCCTATCATGTGATGTAAGATTTTGATTAATCCCATTATTGATGATGTTCATTTTGCTCACTTGATTAAGATGATGTCTGCCAGGCTTCTCCATTGTAAACTTATTCCCTGTTATAATTAATAAGCAATCTATGGGGAGATACTTTGAAACTATGTGAAATCCCTTACCAAACTTTAGTTTTTAAAATTTATTTACTTATTTATGTATTTATTTTTATCTTTATGGCCTCATGGTTTCCTTTTTTATTCAGTGCATTATAATCCATTAATATCATTATTTACTTGCCAGTGGGAGCCCCTTCAAGCTGGTTTCTGCATCCTTTTGAGCATTTCCTTGCTTTCTGGCACAACAGGATGTTCTAGGCTCATCTTGTACTTTCTCTGCCACAGCCCTGGAATCAGCCAGTTCTCCAAAGAGCTCTAGTTCTTTCAGTGGAGAATGTTGTTTAGAAGGCGGCTAGGTGCTAGATGTGCACACTGCTATCAGAGTGTTGCTGCTCCCTGGCCCTTCAGTAAACAGAACTAGAAAATATATATACTTGTGTCTATTTTATTTATTTATTTATTTTTGGCCGCATTGGGTCTTTCTTGCTGAGTGCGGGCTTTCTCTAGTTGTGGCGAGCAGGGGCTACTCTTCATTGCGGTGCGCAGGCTTCTCATTACGGTGGCTTCTCTTGTTGTGGAGCACGAGATCTAGGCGCGCAGGCCTCAGCACTTGTGGCATGCGGGCTCAGTAGTTGTGGCTCGCAGGCTCTAGAGCGCAGGCTCAGTAGTTGTGGCTCACAGGCTCTAGAGTGCAGGCTCAGTAGTTTGTGGCGCACGGGCTTAGCTGCTCCGTGGCATGTGGGATCTTCCCGGATCAGGGCTCAAACCCATGTCCCCAGGCAGGTGGATTCTTAACCACTGTGCCACCGGGGAAGCCCTAGCTTTATTTTTATATATTATATATGTATCAGAAACCATGAGTTCACACTCCAATTCCAATTCGACACCACAGTTGTTTTTCCCTTTCCATGTTTTAATTCCATCCTCTAACAGTGAGAAACCTGGTCCCATTACCCTTAACATATGCCCTTTTTTGATCAATCCCTCTGTATGTAACTAATCTCCCGTTGTTGCCACTGCCCTTTCCCTGTCTTGGGTACTCTTTTACCCTGCCTGGGAGTCCCCACATCAGGCTGCGGCTCCTTCTCCGCCAACGGATGCCCTTCATACCCCACTAGGGCTGTGGCATGCTGCATCACACCTTCCTGCCTCTGTATGGATGCCTCCTCACCCAGCTTGGGCTCTGATACTCCCTCCCAGACCCTTCTGCTCCTCCCACTTCAACTGATGTAGACCCTACTTTCCTCTGCCACAACTAATGGCTCTAAAGCCATTAGATTGAATTTTTCAGGAAGGGGAGAAGAGCTGCCCTCTGTTTCTTGACTTGAGTTGAACTTATTTTTTTTTTAATGTAAGGGAAGTATGGAACCCAGTGACTGCTGATATGTGGAAGCCTGGTCTCCTAATGTCTGCTCTCAAGACTTTTTACAAGAGAGAAGCTTTTTTGTGTGGGTGAAATCAGATGAGAAAGCAAGGCCTGCAGGCGTGAGGACCTCTGGCCATCAGTGTGTTGTCCATGGGAGGGAATAGGGCATATATAGTATGTAGTATGGGGGGGTCTAGAGCAATCTGGGGGTGCAGGAGACATTGATGTTACTCTCTGAGGTTGCCTTATGCATTGGATTTATAGGCCCAAAGTATGGGGGTCCAGGCTTGGCCAGGTGGGCATAGCCCAATAGGATAGTAGTAGTAATAATAGTAAGCTTATATTTATTGAGCCCTATGTACCAGACCCTGCTCTTAGAGCTTTACATATGTCCTCTCATTTCACTCTCGCTTAAGGAGTAGGAGCTGCTATTGTCATTTTACAGGTGAGGAATTGAAGAACAGAGCTTGCCCAAGGTGCCATGGCAAGTAAGTGGTAAAACCAGGATTCAAACCCAGAAGCCCTCCTTAATCATGACGATTAATTGCCTGTAGTATTTGGCAGATGGAGTCTGATTGACTAAAAACACTTTATACACTATATATACACATTGGAAAACATTAAGACTTTCAAAAGTCCTTATGCAAGACCTGACTTTGAGAGGTTAGAGAAGAGTTCTAAGGCCCTGAGGGACTTTGGATTCAAACTAGAACGTGTAATCTGAGCAGACTGGTGTCTCCCATCTCAGCAAGGCTTCCAGTACCGTTCAGGAGTAGGTGACGTGAAGAGTTATTTTGCATTCCGGCTTTCAAAAGGATGTTGGCCCGTTTGCCTTTCCAAGGGATTCCATAATGAAACTCAAGCCAACCTTTTTCTATCCCCGGCTGCGGAGTTTGGCTGCGTTTTTGGAGAGGCTGTAGGCCACGGTGAAAACAAGCACTACGCTTGTGCTAGAATCATGAAGAACTTAAAATACTTCTTGGTCTTTGTTCCATATGGAACTTCACTGTAGGAATAGGGAAATTGAGGACCCACACCAGCACGTATCCTAATAAATATGCAGGCAAGTTACTGTAGGTCATTCCTTGAGTCCCGGGAGAGCCGGGGTGAGAAGTGATACTTGGCATGATCCATGTCCGCTCAGGTGGTAGTGACCTTGTTGCCTCTAGTGTGCTCTGGACTTCCCAGGCTGCTAGTTTCCTCCACGCTACGGGAGGGAGTGAGTGCCCATTGCAGTCTTTCAGAGGCAAGCTTTTGGCTCCGTCAGACTGGGGCTTCAGAAAGCTTAAACTGTGGCCATTTCCGTATTGAGCAGCATGATTTCTTGTTTGACTTCGAGGATTAAAGTTGAGGGAATTTGAGTGTTGGGTATGAAATGGGAAAAAACACAAAATTTCTGCTTTATTCCTGTTTTTTTTTTTTAAAGGAAGCTTGAGTTATTCGTGAGTAAAACTTAGGCTTATATTTTTATATTTCGTTAGTCCTCTAAGGAGCAGACATTCTGCATATTTAAAGGGAAAACTTGAAAAGTGATTTGGATTTTTTTTTTTTTTGCACATGTACACTCAGAAAACTTTACTAGACTTTTAGCAATGCTCCCGTTACCACCACATCTGGGTTTTCTCTTTTTCTTCCCTATTTAAAAAAAGTCCTGCAGTCATTCAAGGCCTCTAGTAGAGAGTTAGTCTAAAGGCAGCGGAGGAAGGCCCGAGGCTGTTGGCAGCTGTGCTCTGCAGGCTTCGTTCATTCCCCCAGGTGCCACTTACTGGCTGGGGGCTGGGGAATCACCAGAGTATGGTGAGCAAGCTCCCTGTGATGGGCTCTGCTCCTTTCCCATTGGGAGAAGGGAGGAGGGCATGTGGAGACATCAAGATACAGACAAGAAAGCCAGGGACAATGGCTGGGAATGGAGCTGAGGAGAGAGTCCTGGGCATTTCCTGCTGTTTGTCTGAGTCTACTTAGCTCCCAGGACTGATTGTACAACCAGGGCACCCCGGGTTACTTTGGGAAACTTAGCTTTAATGTTAACTGTTGCCACCTGAGAAGTGACCACAGAATTTTTCTTTCTCTCTTTTGAACTTTAGAGCTGCACTTAAAGATCAAGGCCAGTGCTGCATCTTGTTTTGAAAATGGTCTGGGAGACTCAGAGCTGTCATAATGCTGTGGGGGCCAGTATTAAGGGTCTTGAACTTCAGTAACGAATACTGGGATTTAGAAAAGGGGCACAGAAACACTGAGGAGTGGTTCATGTTCTGTGAATATTCCTGAAGACTAGGTGGAACAGGGCCACGGTGGGAGGGAGTAACCCAGACTCTCTGTTCTTTTTTTTTTTTTTTTTCTTTTTCTTTCTTTCTTTTTTTTTTCTTTTAAACTTTCCTCCCCTAAGTTTTAGATGCTTCTGGATGTTCAATGCTAGCACCTTTACAGACTGGAGCAGCTCGATTTTCTTCATATTTACTTTCAAGAGCAAGAAAAGTGCTGGGCTCCCACTTATTTTCTCCCTGTGGTGTTCCGGAGTTCTGCTCCATATCCACCAGAAAGCTGGCGGCCCACAGCTTTGGCGCATCCATGGCGGCAATGATGTCCTTCCCTCCCCAGAGGTATCACTACTTTTTAGTGCTGGACTTTGAGGCCACGTGTGACAAGCCGCAGATTCATCCTCAGGTAACTGTTGCATCATTGCTTCAGCAAAGATGGGGTGGGCAAGGAGGGAGGGAGGATAGACTTGCTTTCTGGGACCCAGAGGAAGTTTCTCATGTCTTCTTGGCTTTTAGCTACTCATCTGGAGTTCCTGCCTTAGAAGCAGGACTTGACTCAGGCATCCTAGGGTAAGGTAGACCTGAGAGGTCTTTGTAGAAAACTGGGCACACTGTTTCTCTCTGGTCTCAGCCTTTGGGAATCAAAATGTTTCCTTCTGTCCCATCCTTCCTCTCTCCTTTCCCTTCCCTCCTTCCTTCTCCTGCTACAGCTGCATGTTCTTTTAAGGAATACTGTGTTAGCCTCCAAAATGGCCCCCAACGATCCTTACGTCCTGATATCCCCACCTTTGGTAGTTCCCCCCTCCTACAATGAGTGAGAACTAGCCCTGTGTAACCAACAGAGTATAGTGGAGGAGACATTGCGTGACTTCTGAGGCTAAGTCATAAAGAGCATCACAGTCCACCTTGCTCTTTTGGATCAGTTGCTATGGAAGAAGCCAGCCACCATGCTTTGAGGATGCTCAAGCAGCCCTGGCAAGAGGCACATGTGTACCGGAACTGAGGCTCTTAGCTAAAAGCCAGTACCACCTTGCCGGTCATGTTTCTTGGCACTGTCTTGGAGGTGACTCTGCTACCCCCAGTCAAGCCTTCAGATAACTACAGCCCCAGTGGACATCAGACGTCAACCTCAGGAGAGACCCTGAGCTAGACTGACCAGCCGAGCCACTCCTGAATTCCTGGCGCATCAGAGCTGTGGGAGATAATAAATGATTATTGATGTTTTAAGCCACTAAGTTTTGGGATGATTTGTTATACAGCATTAGATAACCTGAACAACCATTGCTGGTCTGTTGGAAAGGAAAATTTCTTTGCTTGCATTTTTTTCTTAGTTACCAACTGTGTTCGGAGACCTTTTACCTTTTGAGGTAGTGCTGCTAAGAAGCTTGGATTAGCAGCAGAGAGACACGTGTGCTAGGTGATATTGGATTGCTTGGTGTTTGCTTTGGGGGCCTGATTGGGGGCCGATGTGGCAGTGCCTTGTAGTGTGGGGGCCTTGGGTATGCCTGACTCTAGGACTGGAACTCCTCCCTGTAGGGCTGGATTATCAGGTGGGTAATTTGGGGGTGTGTAGACATGTGGGTCTGGGAGTAGCTTTCAGTAGTAAGAGGAGGAGAAGAGGATTGTAGCAGCAGGCACTTGGGAGACAGGGAGGTCCATTCGGAGGTAAACTGGGTTCATTTCTCATGGTTGGTTTTTTTTTCCAGGGAGGGGTTCTATCTTTAGGTCAGTAGATTATTTTCCATAAAGCAGATACCACAACCCTTTTACCTTTCCCTTTCTACTTTCCTGTTTGTTTCCTATTCTCAAAGTAGTGGTCTGCCTTTGGGGGAGGATTGGAATCCGGCCTGCTGAGGCTTGGGAAGACAGGCGCTGGATGAGGAGAGCTTCCTAGGGGAAGGAACTTCGCATGAAAGGGAAGACGGCTTGGGGGCAGCCTGAGCCACACTTTCTTTCTCAGCCTCTTGCTCCTACCTGTGCTGTAGGGTCGTCTCCTCCACCTCCCCAAACTACTGGAGATTCTGTGGTGGGTGTACCGGGGTGGTGGGTGGGGTTTCGGTTATGTAGGTTCTCTTGGGTTGAGAATCAGGGAGCCATACCCCAGAATGCCGTATTATTTCCCTAGCTGATGATTTCAGTTTCTGAGCAAGCCTTAGTAGGACCTGAGTCTAAAACCTGACACGTTGCTACTGCATAGGATTCATCCCTCTTCTGAAGCCTCATGATTGCCTGGCACCTTCTTGATGACATTTCCTGCTTTCTGCTTCCTGGCACATGCCTATGTATATTTGTTTCTGAACTTTTCAGTTAGATTATAAGCTGAGATAATTATGTGGCTCTGTTCTCTTGTCCTACAGAGGGTCCTGCCAATGTTACTGAAGGTGAAACTTGATTCATGTCTCAGTTTGGTCTGTTAGTATCACCTTTCATCTCTCTTTCAAGGGCATTGTGCTTTTAATTTTTTGTTTTTTTTATTTATCTATTGCAATGCTGAAGATATAATGCAGTACAGATTTAAATCACTTGTATCACCAACTTCCTTCCTAGACTTAGGCACCAGGGCCTTTTAGACCTAGCCTGAGGTTGGGCTTCCTGCTTTTTACCAGGGTCTGAGCCTGATTAAAGTTTATCTCCAGAATCAATGAACCCTGATGATGTGATTCCAAGGGCACTTAAGGAATTGGCTGTCCTGGTTCATTATTAGCAAAGCATTAGCTGTTACTTTAGAGAACTCAGGAAGAAGCATTTGCTGTCTTGCTTATCTTTAAAAGGCAAATACGAATGATCTTGGAAATTATAGACCCGTTAGTTTACTGTGATTCCAAAGAAGATACTTGACCTGATCGTAAGATAATCAATCAGCAAACAGCTAGAAGAGCATAGGGTACTGAGTAATAACTTATATGGGTTTGTGAAGAAGAGCAAATCCTGTCAGATCAATCTAACTCCTTGCTGTGACATAGTGATGGATTTGAGTGGATCTAGGGCAAGTGATAAATGTAATGCATCTCTACTTCATTAAGCCTCTACAATGCTGTGATCAACAGGTAAGAAGGTGAGTTTGGGGCCAGACAGCTCTGTTGTTGAACTACCCACTGGACCACTCTCAGGAAAGGGATGGGCAGCTTAGAAGTGACTTGAGACTTATTGTTATTGGCAGCTTAAAGCTCCCCCCGCCAACCCCACTTTCTTTTAAAAAAAAACCTTCCCTAAAGTTTGCATGTAGCAGGGTCCTGAAAGGATTCAGAGAAAGGTTGGAGGATGGATTGGAGAAGTTGTCAGTCCCAGATAGGATAGTGTCCTTCCACTGAGGTCCTCATAGGTCAGGTTCTCATTATAGCCTCTGTATTGTTTAGATCTTTTGGTCAACAAGGGCAGTGGAGAAATTGGAAAAGCTCAGGATAAGAGGAACAAAAATTAGGGAGCTCAGCTTGGTGCTCTGTGATGACCTAGATGGGGGGGAAGGGGGGAGGGAGGTCCAAGAGGGAGGGGATATAGGTATACATATAGCTGATTCACTTCATTGTACAGCAGAAACTAACACATTGTAAAGCAATTTTACTCCAATAAAAAATAAAAAAAGAGGAACAAAAATTATTAGAGGCACAAAAATAAGACTTAGAAAGAAGAGAAACTGAATATGGTTTTAGTGATTGATTTCTTGTCCAGACTTGGAAGGAGTTGTTCCAAGGAGTATGATAATAACTTGCTCTTCATTTTAATAAGGACAAAAAAAGAATATAAGTGGAAGCAGGAAAGATTGAGATTTGGGATGAGAGTGAACTTCTAGAAGAGACAGTAAAAGGACTAGAATATGGTGTGCAGGTTAGATCAGCCCTACCTAGCTCTCTCAGAACCTCTTGATGGCTGTCCACTTGACAGAGATACTTTGTGGACAAGGCCTGTGTGCCTCCTGGGGATGTGCTTGGCCTGTGAATCAGAACCACCCCGGCTCCCTTGCTGCCTGGCTCCCAAGAGTTTAACACTTGAACACAGTGCACTTCTGATTCTTTTGGGAGTGTGTCATACTCCTCAGTTGCATAGGAGGCAGGAACAAGTTTTGGGCCAGGGCCTCTCTGGAGGCTCGGCATGGGGTTCATTTCTCTCATCTGTGTCTGCTATTCAGAAATCCCTGAGTCAGCTTGTTGGGACTATCCAAAAGGAATGCCACCATGCAAACTGACAGGTGCAAGCTCTGTTGTACTTGAGTAACAATATTGGTTGTAAACATGGTAAAACATCTGGTATTTCCCATTTGTCGTAATTTTTGCTGTTTATTTTTGTACTCTGTTCAGCTCACTGAAACTGGAGTGGTTGGTTTGCCAGTAACAGGCTTTCACCTTTCTGGTATTTGCACTCATTTTGTTTTACACATTTTGATTCAGATTAACATGATAGGTATTGGTTGAACATGAGACCATTTTTCGTTTGAAAATATTTTCTCACTTAAATGTTAACTTAGGTGGATTAAAATGTTTTCGAGACTCAAAATTTGAGGAATACAGTTCCTTTCTTGCTTTAGGAATTGTTTCCTGATATGGAAGTAGGTTTTTATCTGGTTCGGAGAATCGTGGCTGCTTTGTCCTCGGCAGCAGGAGTTCACGTTGCTCATTTTGGTGTGGGTGTGCATCGAATGCTGGTGGCTGTGACCCCGAAGCCCAGGGAGCAGCCTGAAAGCTTTGGTGGGAACTTTAATTGTGCAGCTTTAACCTGGGGGCAAGTTCTCTCACCACCTCAGTGTTCAGAAAAGACCAAAGCAAATGTAAGTGAGGAAAATGAGGTGTAGGCCATAGCATGCAGGGAGGAGGAAGTAACCTCAGCTGTCCAGATGGCCAGGGAGGGGCGGCCTGGCGCTCCTGTCTGGGAGCACATGTCCTGGCTGCCGCCTCCCCTCCCTCCCTGAGTTCGTCCATCAGACTCCATCAGGCTCCGAGGTACAGCCTTTTTCTCACTGCTCTGCAGCAGCCCCGGTGACTGTTTTCCTTCTCATCTGTATTTAAGTGCCCACAACTTTGGAGAAAAATGACCTTTGGGGTTGAGGTTTTCTAGTGTTTGGTCTTTGTCTACAGGGGCTTTTTTTTTTTAAGGAAACCTTGAAGAATCTCCATCTGCATTTTGAGTTAGAACTATTTGTAAAGGCGTTTCTTTTTTATAGAAAATTGTCCAGATGCCGGGTTATTTTGGGAGGGCAGGGTGGGGGGAGGGTTGATGGTGACAGGAGAAGGGATAAAATAGAAGAGAGGCATTTGGAGGATTTCAGTATGACTTGAAGCTGGCTCCTCATTATTAGTCTTTTGTGAGAGAGACATTTTGGAAAACTTCACAGGAAATGGGTTAAGATCCCTACAAATCACACTATATTGATTCCCTTCTCCTCCCTTCAAGGCTGAGAGGCAGGAGCCCCCT